CAATGGGGTGGTGAGCGGCGCCTTTTATGGCGCGACCTATGGCGAAAGTTATTGTCAACCCGCGTTGGAGTGGATGGCGCAAGCCATGGCGCAAGCTGAATCGCCACTCGCAGCGCAAATCGTCGCCCCCCCTCCTTCTGGCCCCCCCCCCCCTCTCTTCTTCCGAACCCTTCGCCCACATTCCCCCCCCGTTATCGGTGGCCCTTTGTTTTCAAGGGTTTCACAAACCACGCGTGGCAGGGAATGGATATACTCCCCGAAAGGGGGCGCGATCGAAGACGAAGAGGGCGGGTATCCAGGGTTTGGGATATGCGTATTTAGTGGCACGCGAGCAAATAAGAGCAAACAGTCATTGTTGATTGTCCTGTTGTTGTTGTTGTTAAAAACTGGGGGCCAGGGGCACCGTTTGGTGCCACGTCATTTTCCATTTCTGTATAAACACAAAAACAGAATGCGAGCCCCAGGAGAAGCATTTTGACAAAGCACATGCAATTGCTACCGCAGGGGAGACAACAACACTTATCGTTAGCAATGAGACTTTACCAACAACAACAGCAGCAACAACAACAACCACAACAACGACGACGACGACGACGACACCAACAACACCAACAACAAAAACAGCAATAATGCTAGCAACCTGTTTCAGACTGTTCGCTCTGATTTGTTCGATTGCGATGCATCACTTATATCCCAGACCCTCGATACCAGACTTTTGGTCTTCGTTGTTAGGGATATATCTTTTTTACTTGCAACGTGTATTTCGTGCAGCCCCTAAGGCAGTGGAGGAGAGGACGGAGATGGAAGGAAGGACAATTGGGGAGGGAGGACGATGGAGCACGGGAGAGTAACAGGAAGGGGGCTAGGAGCAGAAATCACGTGGCAGAACCAGACGGGCTGATCGGGCGGGTAGACACTAACGGGCGAGTCGGGAAGGCAGGCCCAGTGGCCAGGTCGAGCAGGCGGGTTGCTGAAGCGTGCGTCCTGCGTGAATCGCGAGAAAAGCTCAATCGATAGCTCGACTCCCAAGTAAATCGTCAGGACAATCCACAGCGAGAGCGTGATTCCTGAGTGTCGAGGGCGCGACGTGTGAATAAATTGCGAGGAAGTCCCATGCGAGAGCGCGATGTTTGCATAACTTGTACGGAAGTCCCGCGCGAGAGCGCAATGTTTCAATACACTATGGGGAAGTATCAGGCGGGAGCCGTTGTTGTTGGAACTCGGGGGCCACGGGCGCAAACTGAAACTCCAGATTTTCGGCGGAAAAAAAAAGGTATGCAGCGAATTCCTCCCTTCGTCCAGTTTTTCGCCTTGTCTGCCCCCAGTTCGATTCCTTACCCACTGGATGGTGGGACCCCCGGGATGCGCGGGCAGGGGAAAGTCGGCACATATGGGGGGGGGGGAGGGGGGGCGCCTTCTCTGTGTCGGAAGTTTGTGAGGTGGGGCTAGTAGGCCGCCAGGCTGCAGACCTGACCGGGCGCCGATCTGGCGCAGGTTGTGGCGGCTGCCCGGCCGCTTGGCCGAGAGTTCTCTTCCTCTGCCAGCCAGCGCCGTGGTCGGCGCTGGCCGACAAGCATCTCAAGGGCCCGCGGGGCGCTCTAGGCTCAGGACGGCTTCGGCTCGGGGCCACGCCCCTGCCTCCGACGGGTAGGGCCAGTGGCGCCTGGCAGCCGGGTGGTCGTTCGGACGGCCACTGCTCCGCGAGGAGGGGACATCCCACGCATCATTCCCTGCGGCGCTCCGGAGAAGAAGCGCCCCGCCACTGCGCCGCGCTGTGGCGCCGCGCCGTCACCTCGCGGCGATCCAGGGAACCACCCCGAGGAGGGAGCCGAAACGCGTCGAGCGACGCCGTCCCGCACATCGACTCTCGGGCACAAGTGTCATGTTCAACGAGGCAGGGGCAGCGGTGGCTCGCCAGAGCTTCAATACGTTTTCTCTTTTCATATTCGCCCCTTGCGCACTCCGAGCCCCTTCTCCCTCTTGCCTGTTTCCCTCGCCCCCTCTCTTCCTTTCCGCAGCATTTGTTCCTCTGTGTATTGTTTGTCTCTGACCGCTCTAGACGGCCTGGTGTCCCCGCTTTTTCATGCACCCCTCAAGACAGACCCGACATGGTGCACAAGCGCTCCTCGAGAGCCAAGCGCGCGACGCTGGAGAATGTGGATGATGATGGTGATGATGATGATGCTGGTGCTGATGCTGATGATGATGATGATGATGATGATGATGATGATGATGATGGTGGTGGTGGTGGTGATGATGATGATGATGATGATGATGATGATGATGATGATGGTGGGGAGAAGGAGGAGGAGGAAGAGGAGGAGGAGGAGGAGGAGGAGGATACCTCCACCTGCGAACTCTCATTGATCCTCCCTCTCCCATCCTCCTCCTCCTCCCCATCCTCCTCAACCTTGGCACTCATCAGCATCAGCATCATCATCAGAATCATCATCATCATCATCAACAGCATCAGTATCATCATCATCATCATCATCATCATCATCATCATCATCATCAGCATCAGCATCATCATCATCATCATCATCATCATCATCACCAGCTCCATCACCATCACCACCAACATCACCATCATCATGTTCATCATCCTCATCATTTCGTCATCGTCTGTATCATCTCTTTTCACGGTTTCCTCTGACCCGCCGAGCGTTACGATACCTTCGGTGTTTCCTCTTCCTCCTCCCTCTTGCCGTCTATTCCTCCTTCCTGCCCCCCTCCCACCGTGCACTGGCTCCTGGACGCCTCTGTTATCCCCCTCTCCTGCCCTATTCCTGGCAGTGGGGGGTGGGGGGGGAAATCTTGAAATACGTGCATGTGTCATGTTCTTTGCTTGCGCGCCGCACTCCCCAGCCCGCACACTAAGCCACACCGTGCCGCCCATCAAACGCGCTGGCATCGATCGAAGCCGATGATCCCCGATCATTTGCGCCCAGCCCGCTCCACGCCAGGCTCCAGTACATAGTTCATTTGATGGCGCGCGCGCGCGAAGCGCGTGCGATGGTTCTAGTGGAAGTGTGGAATACGTGAGTGCGTGATAATATCCATACGCAAGTGTAGATGTATGCTTTCGTGCATGTGCGACTGTAACTGTGTGTCAATGTTGTGCAGTGTAATCACCTCCCCCACATGCTACAACAAGGGCAGGCGTCTGGACTACCGAGGCGACTTTCCGAAGGCGGACGCTGCACAGCATGTCGAAATTCATGGTGAACGCAATGTCTGCCCATCGGGCGTTAATTTCGGCGCACGGCACTTCTCGTACTTCTCACGTGCGGTGGGCGGTAACGACCTTCGACTTCCTGCCGTTTATAAATGTGCTCGATGTTGTCGTTCACGAGCGGCTTTCCACGCCATTGCTCGCTGGAACTTCCGCTCCCGCACCCACGCGAGGGATGCGCCGCGTGCAACGCTTGAGGACGTGGCCGAGTGCATATGGGAGCTCGATGGCCACGATGTGCAGTTGGAGCTCCAGCAGGCGCCGCGCGGCCTCAATCAACCTTGACTAACGGACTAGCAGATAAAATGTGCGCTTGATTTCGGGATTGCGTACCCATACAGGTTGCCTGGGAAACCGATCTTCCTAGACCTCGGGAAGCGGTGGATATGGACATATTGGGCCTCCCTGGGGCTTGAATCTATCTATACCCACCGCCCCTTGGACGAACCGACCGATTCAGATTCGGCCATCGAGTGCGCAGCCGATGGCACAATCTGGAGCAGGCAGCTCGATTCGTGGCCGCGAAGGGCGCATCCCACGGCGCCCCCCCTTACCAGACCACTTCAAGTTCGGCCGCCGAAAGCTCATTGGAAGTTCGGCCGCCGAATGCTCAGCCTATGGCGCAGCCATCGGCTGGCAGTTTCGGGTGCGGCCGCCGAGTCCGCCACTTTGGCGCAACTCCAAGCAGGCCGTGTTGTGTTCGGTCGCCGAGGGGGCAGCCAGTGGCCCTCCCAGTGGCAGGCCGTTTCGTGTTCTGCCGCCGTGGGCGCAGCCCAGCTCATAGCAGGACGGTTCCACCGACCACACGAGTTGTGGCGACAGCAGCCGCAGATTGATACGTGCTCGGCCGCAGAGCGCGCAACCCGTAGCACAACAATTGACTGGCAGTTGTATGTCCTTCTGCCGAGGTCGTAATTGACGGCGCAATCGATAGGAGGCAGTTCTACGTTCGGCCGACGAGGGCTCGACCAGTGACACAGCCAACAGGAGGTCGCTACAGTTCCAGGAGCCGATGTCGCAATTTGCAGCGCCACCACCAGCAGGTTTTTGTAGGTTCGGCAGTGGCGTGCGCAACTTGCATGGCGCATCCCAGGGACGAAGAAGCCCGTGGGGCAAGCTACGGCGCAATTCGTGGCGCAGCCTGTGGGAGCAAGCTGTGGCGCAATCCGTGGATGCCGCACTTGGTGGTGCAGCCCAGGAATGGCGCAACCGATAGCGCAACCCATGGCGCAGTCTACGGCGCAACAACCCACTGCGCAAGTTATCTCAGGAGGAGAAAAAACACACAGACACAATTAATCGTCGATTCCTCAGAAAGTATGGGCAAATATGGGAAGTGGGGGGGGAAGACAAAAACCCAGAAAATATGGGAAAATATGGGGAATAGTTTTATTTGTGTGTATTTATGTGTGTGTCCTGGGGCCCCTTCATTATCGCGCATCCGATGGATGGCGCAACCTTTGGCGCAGCCCACGGCTGACACCACCCGTGCCGCAACCCATGGGTAGCTCCGCCCCTGGCAGTTTCTACGGGGCTACGCCCGATTTGAGCTGGCCGTTTGGCCCGGGAGGCGAGTCGTCTTGTGGCCCTTACTGCGCAAATATGTTTCGATATCTGAATTGGGCGCGATGTCATTGATCAACACCATGCCAGACGGCGGGTCCTCCAAGGAATGCTCCGTCCGGGCGCTAGATCACCGCGCCGCCTTCCAAGAACTGTACCTGCCCCTCAGAGGACCTACCCCGTCCCATTCAGCTGGTGTCCCCCACCGCTGGTCGATGCCCTGATCGACCCAGGAAGTCAAGGCTTACTTGGTCAGAAGGCAGCGTTTTCTTGCGTGCCTCGTGGGGTGGAACGGCGGAGGCGAGGAAGAAAGTCGCAAAGCCGATGCGAGGCCGAAGCCAGGCCCGTCCAACGTGCTCGAATTTCTTTCCCTAGCCAGGCTGGCTCAAAGGCATCATGGCCCTGTATTCGGTTGCTCGGGACTTGCTCTAAACAGGTTGCGGACGCCAGTGATGGGGGCAGCGCCTGACAGGCGCTGGACCTTCGAAGGCGCCGAAGCTGCCCCCTCCGCCGCGCACACCGAGGGCCAGCCAGCGCAACCGAAGGCTTGCTCGACCCCGCCCCGTCTCGCCGAGGGCGGACGACAGGAGCGCCAGGGCGAGCTGCAGGACGCGCAGGTGCTGCACCACGACGACGAGGGGACCCGTCGCGAGCAGAGCCCGGAGGCGCCCTGCAGCGGGCCCCCGGAGGCGGCGCAGCAGCCCGTGCCCGCGCCGCGCCGGGGCGAGCCCTTCGAGTGCGCGGGCCTGCTCGGGGGCTGCGGCCTCCCAGGGGCGTGCTGCGCCGGGGCCGCGCCGCAGCGGCGGGCGGCGGCGTGCGAGGTCCGCGTGGACGCCGCCGGCCCGGCCAGGGGCCCCGTGACGGAGGACTACGACGAAGGCATCTACACACCACCACCGTGCCAGGCCAGGGCCGTCCTGGGCCCCAGGATGGTGTATAGACCCTCCTGGCCTCGGCCAGGATGGCGTATACACCATCCCAGGGCCCAGGATGGCCCTGGCCTGGCACGGGGGTGGTGTATAGATGCTTTCTGCGAAGAGGACCTAACGACCAGTCGAGCCCGAGTACGTGCAGAGGGCTGCCCTCCGAGCGCCAGGTTCGGTGGAGGCGGAGGTCCACGCCCTGCGCCGGGCAGGCGCGGCCAGCCTGGAGGCCTGTGCTGGAGGCCAGGTCGGCCGGGCCCCCGTCGGAGCAGAGCACACTCTCATCAACACCTCGTGGTCTATCGGCGGTGCTCGTGAGACGAGCGCAGCTGTCAGGCTCGTTTCGCGCCTTGCGGACCCTGTCGCCCGAGGCCCTGTCCGGGGGGAGCGGGAGCCCGCGGGGCGGGAGCGCCCACCAGCCGGAGGACACGGGCACGAGCAAAGGCTTTCGAGCTCCGTCGCAGACCTTTCTCAGAGCGCGCATGGGCCCAGGCATGCTCGTGTCCCCACCAGCCAAGAAGGGGTGTGTGTGGGGGGGGGGGGGGTGGGGGGGCGTTTTTCTCGGCCTCGTGGGGCCCCCGCCGGGCCCCAGGACCGTCAAACAGCGATCCGTGATGAAAAAACCGGTCTTGGGGAGAACGGGACTTGCAGGGGCCTCGGATCGAAAGAGTGGTAGGCTGCATGTCTGGGGGCCCTTGGCGGCGCCGCCCCTAGCGCGCCAGGGAGGGGTGTGTGTGGAGGGGGCCCTGGGAAAAACCGCGCGAAGCTCCGAGAGTCCATGTCTGCGCCAGCTGTTTCTTCTTCTGACCCTCGGAGGAGGAACACCGCACAAACATAAACGTCTGGCGCTCCGCGCGGATTTCTTTGATCCGCGCTGGGCCCCCCGGCGGCGCCTGCGGCGCCGCCCCTGGCGCGCTCCGCGCGCCAGGCAGGGGGGTCCAGCGCGGATCCCAGAGATCCGCGCGGACCTCCAAAAACGTATGTTTGCGCGGCTTTTCGCTCCTCTAGACCCATGCCGCAGCCAAAGGTGAGCTGGAGTGCCACCGAGGTGGCCAGCACGAGGGCCAGCACGGGCGCGGTCAGCGACCCCGAGGAGTTGCTCCTCCTGGCGTCCGAGGCCTCGCTGGAGGAGCTCGAGAGGCACGCGGCAGGCCTGGGCGATGGCGCAGGCAGCTGCGCCTGGCCCGAGAGGGTTTTGATCCAGGACGAGGCGTGGCCCGGGCGGGAGGTGGGCAGCGTAGAGGACGCTGCCGTCCACCAGGTGTGCGGCATCTTCGGCGTCCCGTTCTCGTGGCCCACGCTCAGAGAGTGCGCGTGCCGGGGCGGCTGACGGCCGCCTGGCGCACACGCCTTCTGCGGGCCCGTGCGTGCTCGCCGCTGCTGCGCCTCCAGGTGTGTGCGACCCTCTTCGCGGCTTTAGTGAGGCTGCGCTCGAGCGGCACACGAGGCGATCGCAGTGAGGCGTCAGAGCGAATTGCCAGAGACTGTGAGACTTCACTGGTCCATGCTGTTTATTCTTTGCTGGGTGCATCGAGCTCCATCTTCAGCCATCTCGCCTAATTGAAATACGGACGCGCACCAAATGGGGGCTCTGGCAGAGAGCTATTCGGATGCGTTGCCGCGCATGCCCGCCGAGTTGTGGCAAGGTTTGGCTCTGCGTGGCTGTTGCGTCGCCTCTTTGGGAGCCTGGATAGTTTTGTCTTGGGTTTTGGAAGACCTTTTGAAGCTTCAGGGAGTCTGGGACCGTCTTGGGGGCTCATGCAACCATGGTGTCCTAGAGCTTTTCTTGTATGGGAGTGCCGTGGGGCCGTCTTGGCTATGTCTTGGGCAGTCTCGGGGGAGTTTGGGGCCGTATTCAAACTATACTGGGCGGGTGCTGGGCTGTACCGTGGCCTGCTGGGCGAGAGTGGTGGTTGTCCAGGAATGCATAGGGGACTTGTCGGGGGACTCAGATATCCGACGATCTGATGTTCCTCATCTACCAGGTGCGGTGTTCTTGTCAGTAGTGTGACGCTTCCGGCTCCTTCTCTCCCGCCTCCTCCCCCTCGTTCATACTCAGATTCACTAGTACACAGGCCCTTGTCACTCAGTTCCGCTCAGACTCAGTCAAGGCATACTCAGACTCATACACAAGCGACTCACAGTATGATCATTCACATCCAGACTCATGCATACTCAGACTCACACTCAGGCCGATCCGCATTGTGTCACTCATAGCATACTCGCTCCTTAGACTCAACCTCACCCGTAATCACCGAACTGAAGCAGGCATAGCA